CCTCTCAGGGCTGAGTGCAGGCAGTGAGTGTCCCCTCTCCCTCTCAGGGCTGAGTGCAGGCAGTGAGTGTCCCCTCTCCCTCTCAGGGCTGAGTGCAGGCAGTGAGTGTCCCCTCTCCCTCTCAGGGCTGAGTGCAGGCAGTGAGTGTCCCCCTCTCCCCCCTCTCAGGGCTGAGTGCAGGCAGTGAGTGTGGTCTGTCGGTAAGGTGCTGAGTGTCACTCACCTGGCTGAGTGCAGGCAGTGAGTTGGAGTGCTGTTCTCCCTCTGACTGACAGGCTGAGCTCCCGGCAGCCGGTTTATATAGCCCACAGACAGCGCACTCAGTGTGATCCCTCCGCCGAGCCTCACTCCCCTCTCTGGCTCCCACTGACACCGGGCTCCGGGCTCCGGGACCCCCCGTGCCATCCCCAGCCCCGCCCCCTCCCGCCCCTTCCGCCAGCTGGCCGGCTCCATCACCGAGTCCGGGGGGCGGAGGGACTACTTTCTGACGGATCACTGCCAGCCCGGTATCCCTGCGCGCGGTTCGCGGAGAGTTCCAGGGGGCGGGATTGGTCCGTGGGATGAATGGTTGCTAAGAGACAGTAAATAATGGGCGTGGTTTATTATTTTGGCAGCCCCTGAGCCCCGCCTCTGCCATAGCTGCCAACTGGCCTACATTTACAGAAAAAGTCCCTGTGGCAAAACTATCCACTCCAGACTGTCTGTCCATTAATGTGATTTAAGGCATTCCCCGGTCTGTGTGCGATGGAACGAGGGCATTCGTATGCCGGCGGCAGGAAAACCACCAGCATTCATACAGCAGTTTCACAAACAGTGAATTTCACACACGGGAGGTCGCGTGGCGCCCATTAAATATCGCAACATTGTATCTTTCGGTAGTTAATGTTCAGGGTGGCCCCCTATCGCATACTGACTACGCGGCGGTCTGCCATCTTGGATCCTTTGTTAGCCCAGCGGTATTTTGTCGTTGAGTGCCTGGAACTAAAATCGGCTACTCAATGGCTACTTTCTGTATTTTATCCCTGTTGGTCTATTCGTGCCTTTGTTGAAAAATGTATATTGAAGTGTATTTCGTGCGGCGTTCGGCTAATTGTGCTGGGATCTTTCACGAAGTATGCGCTCAGACCCCAGCTATCTGCCAAACAGTTATTCAGTATATTAGCAGGAATAATGTTAAAGTTCTGTATTTTTGTGTAAAAAGCCAGTAGGTATTACCCTTTGGTGTAATGTTGTGTTTTTTAGTAACTGTTTGTGACAAACGCTCCTTCCCTCGAACGTTTGCCACAAACTCCTGAAGGAGTGTGGAAACTGGTCTCCTCCCCACCAACTATGGCCCAGGTCGGAGACCCTGTTCGGGAGTTTCCCTGCCCAGTCGCCATTAGTAGCTTTCCCTGTGTGCCCCTGGTTCGGCACTTTCACTTCTCACGCTAGCTCACTTAACGATACTTACCCATGACCGCAATGGAACTAATTTCGTCATGAGGACTTCGTGGATCCCCGGTCACCTCAGCGGGACCTAGCCATGCATATTATGGAAATGTTTTTGGTATAAGGTTTTGAACCAGTTTGCAACCCCCCCAGGACTAGGACACACACGCTACCTGAGAGCCAGGTGGAGCACCCCGTATTGCGGTCGCAGGAGCTCCAGTTGATTGGCAAAAGTACCAAACGCCCTGGAACTATTTGGGCATAGGACCACGTGTGGGCGGGTCAGAACTTTACCACGGTGGCGTTTCCCCTACACTGCATGGATCTGAGAGCTATTTGGACCACGTGGGTGCTCCGATCAGGGCTATTTGGCAATGTGCTATTTATTGCATGTTTTTTTTATGTTTTCAGGTATTTTTATGTTTTTGTGTTTGCCGCTCTGTTCTTGGGAGATAATTAACTTACGGGTCTTTAACATGGTCATTATCTCCCAGGCACAGAGATTTCTGGGAGAGGATTGTGTTGAATACAATGGAGACCCCCTGCTGGGGTCTGTGCATAAAAGGCAGAGTTTGGTTCATTAAAAGAACTATGTGTCGTTTAGTTACTGAGAGTGGAAGGGGCCATGCAAAAATAAAACAGAAAAGGTGTGAATGGGCAATGAGATCCATCCACAAACGATGCCGACCCTCCAAGTAATGATATATTAAATGACAGGAAAATTCCAAAAGTTCTGAATAATAAGTGAGGTTACATTCCAGTGCAAGACCTTTCACAATAGACAAGGATTAGCGCTCCCAGGACTGTGTGTCATCCAGTCCCTGGGAGGGAATAGAGCTGTTCCAGCTAGGAAGCGATCCTTGGCGGAGGTACCCAGCTGGGGTACAGGGAGCTCCGCTACACTGTGCAAAATAATTCTCATAAAGCAGGTTGTGTACAGTTTACACTGACAGAATGGGATACAGAGGTCTGTGACAGCGATTCTCAATATTCTAAACGTGGAGCATTCCATTGGTTTCCATGGAAATTGCTTCACTTTAAGAAATGAGAATGACTCCATGCGTAAAAGCCCAAAGTCTCTGTTTGTCCGACCCCCAGTGCCATGTCTAATATGTCAAACCATTCAAAAACAGATTGACAGGCTCCTGCATTCTCCTTGATTCCAATTAGCTCCACTGAGTTGAGCAGGGATATCACGGCAGAGCGCGTTCACTCCGCACTATGAATTAATGAGTGCTACGGCACCACTACAGCAGGATACAGTGGTTATGGTGCTTGGCGTGTGTGGGAGTACATGTTCGCTGCTCTGTGAATTTGAAGCAAATTAGCTCATTTTGGAATTTTTGATTTGTGTAATATGAGTTCTGCTAATTTTTTTTTTATCTCCATGTGATATCATTC